CTTGCAAAAAGCTGAGCTGTAAGGAGTTCAATCATTTGGAAGCAGTGAGAGCCTTGGGCGGGTAGTTCTCAGCTCTTGAGGGCTACAAGGAACTAAAGTTTCTTGGTTGCCTTAGAAACAAGTGACCTCACAGATTCAATACAAAGTGTAACTTAAAAATTTCATTAGGCAAACCGTCTATTTGGATATTTTTCCTGTATATTGACAATCTGATTGAACAGTGGTAGGAATTCATTAAAGCATTTACTTGGTGCCTAGTGAGGCACTTTCCGTAGGTTTGAAGACAAAAGCAGGGCAGTATTTTCTTAATGACATCAACATTCAGGTTGTTATGCATATTTCGAGAAATAGATAAGAAAAACTAGCCTACCGAGAGTGGGGTTCGAACCCACGCGGGCACTAGCCCATTGGATCTTAAGTCCAACGCCTTAACCACTCGGCCATCCCGGTGTTGGCATGTGGCTCTTGGTAATCATTTCTTTATTAGAATCATTGTATTTGCCGACAGTTACTGGGAGATGATTTCACAACAGTGAAACCTAGGGCTGGGCTTTAAAAAGCCTAGAAAAGAAACAAATCTTTTTAATGTTACTGGAGGGAAATTAATGAAAAAGTACATTTTCACCAATATTCTCTGAGCATTAATTTCTACCATGCATTGTGCTGAGCACTAAGGAAACACCTGTTCCTGTTCTTGTAGAATTACATTAAAATGCAAGGAGGGTTACGATAGTAAAGGAGTCCCTGGGTTGTACAAATGGTTAACACATTTGACTGCCAACTTAAGTGTTGGAGGTTTGAGTCCATCTAGAGGCAACTCAGAAGAAGGCTCTGGCTATCTTTTTTTTTTAAGCCACTGAAAACCCTATGGATTACAGTTCTACTCTTACACACACGGGGTCGCTATGAGTCAGAATCCATTGGATGACAACTGGTTTATGATAAAGAAAGCACAGAATGTTTTCCTGAGTCCCTGCACTTGATCACCACTTAGATTCAAGACAAGGCATTGCTTTGACTTAATCCAGAAAGAAAAACAAATTGGGGTAAGGAGTGCAGTGAACACTAACACATTAGCACTAAAGTGCCATTCCAGCTTTCCTTCAGCACCCTTGCCTGCATTTTGCCTGTTGAGGCCACATCTGTACCCCAGGCCCACTGAAGCACTGGAGACATCAGGATGGGAGCTCAAGAGACTTTATATTAAAAGGAGCTTCCCCTGGGGTAAATATGGAAATCTCTAGCAGACACAGAATTAGTTCAAAGTTATGAATTTGATTGTAATGCTTTAACAGACAGCCCAAAGTGTCCATAAAAGCAACACACTGAGCTGAGTGTAGGCTATATACCACAATAAGTCACTACCCCAGAACTCAAAGTACTCCCAGAAAAATCAGCCCAAAAAGTCAATCTGCAGTTGTTATAATGGAGAATTCAGTCTATGCAGCAAAAAGTATCCCCAAGAAGACTATTGTAAATGCAGAGTCTAGAATCCCTTTTGTAAAGCTCCTAGCTAAAGAGGTTTAGAGTGAGTTCCAAGAACATTAGTTTTACCAAGTGTCCCCAGGTAATTCTCATGCATTTGTCTGCTGACTACACTCATTTAAGGGTGCTAAAAACTGTCAGGGGACATTTAAAAACTCATGAAAGGAGATCCCAGATGAGAAATTTGGGGTGTGTGGAGAAGACAGAACTGAAATGAAATCCTAAAATAATTGTTGGAGTATAATTAATTCATATAACAATACTGAACATCTAGTGTGGTCAGATCCCCCTGTCTTAGGTTAGTAGGGTCATATCAGCTGTATCAGACAAGCAAAGAGGGTCCAAGGGCAACTGTCCCCACAGTCTCATCAGTTGATGGCGAAAGAGCTCAGCTCTTGTTGGGAATCCTCAGGATTGACTGGGTCCTTTGTCTCTTTGAGTGATAAGGCTATGAGCAAGAAATGGCCTCCTCAAGTTTTTTGGCTATCCAGTTGTGGGTTCCGTCTCTGGCCAGTTTGAGATTCTGTTCCTGGGAGACAAAAGATGTCCTGAGAGATCCCCTCCCTCTTGCAAGCACCAAGCCTCTCAGTGCTGGGGCCAGAACTGGATCAGGGAAGGGGAGGGAGGCGATTGTAAGGTTCCATAAAAAACATATTGGAGAACGAATACGTAGATAAATGCAACATTTTTTAGAATATTCTCTTACTGTTATAAGGAGTTCTGGTGGTGCAGTGGTTAAGACATTTGGCTACTAACCAAAAGGTTGGTGGTTTGAACCCACCAGCTGCTTTGCCAGAGAAAGATGAAGCAATTGGCTTCTGTAAAAAAAAATATATCCTTAAAAGCAAGCAAACAAACCTGTGGAGCAGTTTTACTCTGTTCAATAGGGTCACTATGAGTCAGAATCAACTCAGTGGCAGTGATTTTGTTTTTTTGGGGGAGTATTACTGTCATTCTTAACATGGAATAGAATCAGCTATGACATTTAATAAACATACTTATCTAGAGAGTTTAAATAAATAACTAAATAAAGCCATTAGAAGAATATCTTATGTTTCAGAGTGTAGAGAAGACCTTTCAAAAAATTCAAAAGCACAAACAGTAAGGTAGAAAAAAATCTATTTGCTTACATTAAAATTAAGAATATATATATAATAAAGGAGAAAAGTAACATAGATGCAGGTGATATTGAGCTTTGAGGTTAGACAATCAATTGATTCCTACAACAAGAAGTAAAGGAAAAATGCTGAGTTTGAAAGTACATGTGGTGTTTTGTGGATAAAATTAACCTACACTTTTCATTGGTCCTCAACACTGTTATGTCTAACCACCTCTGCTTTTAATGTTTTCAGATTAAGAAATAATAATGTAGCTAAAAACCTATGTAGCACTTACTATATGCTAGGCCTTGTTTTAAGTGCTTTGCATATGTGGCTCATTTAATCATAGTAACAAATTTATGAGGTAGGTACTATAACTTGTTCGAGATCATACTGTTGGTAAGTCAGCTCCCAAACTCAAGTAGACTGGCTCTAGAATCCTTCTAGTAACTATTAAACTGCACTGCAAGTATGGTTAACTATTAAAACTATATTATTCTAAACTGAAGAGCAAATTCAAAATTTTGTCAGTGAGTTACCATATTCTGATTAATCCCTATAGTCAGATAACTAAATTCATAAATGCTGTTTTAGTTTCTTCATGCTGCTGTAACAGAAATACCACAAGTTGGTAGGTGCCCTTGAGTGACCCTACGTACAACAGAACGAAACATTGCCGCGTTATGCGCCAACCTCACAATTGTTGCCGTCATTGAGCTCATTGTTGTAGGCACTGTATAAATCCATCTCATTGAGGGTCTTTCTCTTTTTCGCTGACCCTCTACTTTCTCAAGCATGATGTCATTCTCCAGACACTAGTCCTTCTTGATAACAGGTCCAAAGTAAGCGAAACAAAGTCTACCATCTTCACTTCTAAGGAGCACTCTGGCTGTACTTCTTCCAAGACAGATTTGTTCTTCTGGCAGTCCATGGTATCCTCACTATTCTTCACTGTTCTGGTTACCTAGTGCTATTCTGACAGGATATATCACAAATGGGATGGCTTGAACAAACACAAGTTTATTCTCTTACAATTTTGGAGGTTTTAAGTCCGAGTTCAAAGTGCCAGGGTCTAGGGGCTAGGTGAAAGCCCCTGAACCTTGGGCTTCAGCTCTGCCTCCTGCTCCCAGCCCACTGAAGTTGGAGGCTTTTCTTCACTCAGGCGGCTGCTGGCTGCTGAGGCTGACAAGCCCAAGGTTGACAAGTAAAAAGGCACAGTCCCAATGTTACCAAACAACATGGCAGGCCACTATTTCAAGTCCAGAAGAAGTCCCAAGATCGGCAACGCATGGCGGGTTGTTGAACAATGAATGACCTGGCTACATGCAAGTTTCAATTGTTCCATCAGCTGGAGACTTTCCTCAAAGTTGCTTCTTATATTCTGGAAGCAGACCACATCCCTGAAACAGCTGCTCAGCTGCTTCAATAGATTCCACCATGGAGTTAATTACCAATCTCACCAAGAGGAATAACTACATCCAGCTACCCAGCCACTCAACCAGGCCCAGCCAAGTTGACATACAACCCTAACTATCACATTCACAAACACCATAATTCAAACGCATCAATTCTTTGGTCTTCAGCTTTTGCATGCATATGAGGCAAATAAAAATACGCCGGCTTAAGTCAGATGCACCTTAGTTCTCAAAGTGACATCCTTGTTTTTTTTTTTAACTTTTTCCAACCACAGGAAGCAGAGTGGCACAGTGGAAGTGTCAAAAGTCTCAAAAGTCATCAGGTTTGACACATTTCACACTGATACAGCCTCATCAACATAGCAAAGAAAACCCTGTTCCCAAAGAGGCCACATCCACAAGCATGTTGTTGTTGTTTGCCATCGAGTCGGGCCCCGATTCATAGCAACCCCTCCTTGGGTTTCCGAGGCAGTATCACTACAGAAGTAGGAATGCCCAACCTTCCTTCCGAGGAGTGGCTGGTGGGTTTGAACTGCCAGCCTTCTGGTTAGCAGGCAAGTGTCTTAGCCACTATGCTACCAGAGCTCCTGTCAAGTATAGGAGACAGGATTCCCACACACATTTTGGGGGACACAATTCAATTCACAACAAAAACTTACTTATCAACTAAGATGTGGTTGTAGCCAGCCTTCAAGATGGTCCCCAACGCTCCTCATCTCCTGGTATCCAGGACTTTATCCTTTCCCACACTGAATCAGAGCTGGTCTTATGTGAATAATGGAATATAACACAAGAGAATTCAGTTATGTTGACAATGTGTGTCTTCTTAGGCTTTGCAGGCATTGCAGCTTCACCCTTGATCTCTTAGATCACATGCTCTGGGGGAAGCTAGATACCTTGCTGTAGGATGACTCAAGCAGACCCACAGGGAAACACACATGTGGAGAAACTAAGGTCTTTCAGTAACATTCAGCACCCACTTGCCAACTGTGTGACTGAGTCACATTAGAAGTGGGTCCTCCAACCTCATTCAAGCCTTCAAATGATTGCAGTCATAGGCAAAATCTGACTAGAATCTTAGGATAGCTCCTCCCAAATTTTGGACCCACATAAAGTATTAGCGATAATAAATGTTTTTGTTTTAAGCCAGTAAGTATCAGAGTGATTTGTTATGCATTCATAGTAATAGAACAGATTTTAGTGTTTGAAAGTAGGGTGCTGCAGTAACAAATTCAACAGAATGTGGCAATGGCTTAGGGATGAGGTGATGGATGGAAGGTGGAAGAGCCTTGAAGCCACTGTCACCAGAAGCTTGGTGGTCCTCAAGGAGCCTATCTGTGAGGGCCTAGAAATAAAATGTAAGAAAACTGTTACTTGAACTTGGTAGAAGTCCACGAATAATTTTGAAGGTGCTGCCTAGCAACTTCTTGCTATTTAAAATAAAATGTGAGTGGTAAATTAAAGGAAGAGTGTTAAATGTAAACGAACCAGAAATTGTTGAATTTGAAAGGAAATCTATTATTTCCAGCCTCTCCAGATAGTGGCGGGGGCGGGGGGCACCCAAACCCACTACCATCAAGTCAATTCCAATTTACAGCAACCCTCATTGAGTTTCTAAGGCAGTAACTCTTTATAGAAGTAGATTACCCAGCTTCCTTCCATGGAGTGGCTGGTAGGTTTGAACTACCAATCTTCTGGTTAGCAGTCAAATGCCTTAGGCATTGCACCAACAGAGCTCCTTCTCCAGATAATAAATGATGCTAATATTAAGAAATGACTTTCAGGCAAAAATCGAATCTAAAGCACTGTCAGAAATACATAGTCCAAAGATGAAGTCAAGGATGTGACCATAGAATCCTTTGTTAAGAACCCAGAATGACTTAAGTTGGTACCTCAAACAGAAACAAAACAAAACAAAACAAAATCCTCTAAGGATGTTGAGGGCATGCCTTGCAGATCCTATCCATTAAAGAATAGTTCTACAAATCTTAAGGGTGTGGCTGACCCTAAAGGAAGCCCAACATACAGAATTTATTTCATGAAAACTGTGGCTGAAGCTTTGTCTACTGCAGGATCAGCAAGCTTTTTCTGGAAAGGCCAGATAGTAAATATTTTAGGTTTTGTGGGCCATACAGTCTCTTTCACCAACTACTCAAACCTGCTATTGTAGCAGGAAAGCAATATAGACATACTAACTGAATGAATATGGTTTTGTTCTGATACAACTTTACTTACAAAAACAGGTAGTTGGCCAGCTTTGGCCTATGGGCTATATAGTTTGCCAACCCCTAGCCTAAAGGAAAAAACTCCAATAATGTTCATAAAATCACAATTTTTAAAAGAGAACTGTAATACTTAAAAGGATAGAACAATACAAAATTAAAGGAGGACTGTGGGAAGAAAGCAGGCTAAGATGATCACGAAGCTGCAGGCACCAGAAGTTTCCTGTTATAAAACAAAGATGAGTCAGGTCATGGGTGGACCCACGAGCCATGGAGAATCATTTCCGGACAGCATCACTGAGTCCTAATCAAAGCACCAGCATCATGTGGCCAGTTGGATTCCAGAAATGCTGTCGACCAATACAGCTCTTGTTTTTTGCCCTTTTTGAATGAGTGTGTATATAGCGGTTATCCTGTGCCTGATCCACCATTTTATGTTGGGTTCAGGAGAGACAGGTAATTTGTATCTTAAGTACCTAGTTGTTCAGATAAAAAGAACCTTACTTGATGATGGGTGGACCAAGGAATTGCACCCAAAGAATTTCATCCATACCTTCACTTGATTTAAATGATGCAATCCTGGGCTTGCTCAGGATCACATTGCTGATAAATGGTTGAGGGCATGCTTGACTGGCTCTGGAGTCCTTCTACTAAAAAACTAAGACAGTCTTTATGAATTTAGTTATCAGAATGCAAAGATTAATCAGATTAGTGATAAATTAATTAATTAATCAGGCAACCCACTGACAAAATTATTAACTTCCTCTTCAGTTTGGTATGATACAGTTTCATAGTTAACTATACTTGCAGTGCAATTAATAGTTTAATGTTATAAGGGACACAGACTTAGAAAAGGAAGTTAAGTATATTTTTCATGTGAGAGAGATGCAATCATTGCAGGCCGAAAAAATCAGAAAAATGAGAATGAAATCCAGGATGTTGCTCCTGGTATCATTCATCCACTGAATAAACAAATTAAATGAGCGTTTATGATAAGAAAGACCCGCTGCTAGGTGTTGGGGATATAGGGTTTATCAAAACCAAGTAAGGCTGCTGTCCAGCCAACAGAACTTACAGTCTAATGGCATCCTTAACATTAGAGCAGATTCCCAAAGGACGGTGTTCTTCTCAGGCCCTACTCTGTAGCAGAAATGTTCATTGGTTCTTAGTGAGGCCCAGGTATATCTTCTTGCTATTTTCAAGAAAATTGGAATAAAAACACTAACAGCCTGAGATGTGAAATTTTGCAAAATAATATGTGACTTCCAACAACCTAATGTGAGGCTCTGTGGCTTAGTTGGTTAAAGCGCCTGTCTAGTAAACAGGAGATCCTGGGTTCAAATCCCAGCAGGGCCTTCTTTTTCATACTTTAGCAAGTTCTTGCTGCTGATTAAATGGAGGAAAGTTTGAATTTTTATCGAACAAAGATTCTAATACTCAGATCTTGAGTCATGGTATGTCCGAAGTACTTTGTAGAGGAAGGTTAGAGATGGGAGTTAGAAAATTATTCATATGAGTTACCAAAGTCTATGCCAGAGATCCATCACCTAGAGTCAAATGGTAAGTTTTCTAATTTTAAACATGCAGTTTCATTTAGCATTTTTGCTTTTAGTCCAATTCAAAAAGAAGGTAAGAAAAAAGAGATAAGCCAGGCATACTGTATTAACGAGTGATGTAATAACTGTTCCTCCTTGATACATGATTCTGGGTGCTGGGACATCATTAAGGTGCTCTGGTGGCATAGTACCTAAAGCATTTGACTGCTAACCAGAAGGCTGGTGGTTCAAACCCACCAGTTACTCCTCAGAAAGAAGGTTGGGCAATCTACTATCAGTAGTGATACCGCCTCAGAAACCCAAGGAGGGGTCATTATGGGTTGAAATCAACTCAACACCAGTGAGGTTTATTTTTTAGGTGGTGTAGTGCCTAAGGTATCTGACTGCTAACCAAAAGGTTAATGGTTCAAACCCACCAGCCGCTCTGCAGAAGGAAGATTGGGCAATCTATTTCTATAAGTATTTATTGCCTTAGAAACCCAGTGGGGGTCATCATTGACTATTTTGAAAAATGGGGTAACATGATGACATCTTTAAAGAGAGTAAGAAAAATTATTACTGATAAAATATACAAAAATACTTAACAAGAGACTGGAGGCAAATGAGATCTGAAGTCTTGGATCATTTCTTAGATTAAAATAAAAAGCTAGAAAAAATTGATCAAACTTTGGACTAAAGTTTTCATGTTTTACTTGCTCTTTTCTTTTGACATTCTAGGGCATGTCTTCAAAGTATTTACCACATTCTACAAATGTATCCCCTCATCCCTAGTAATGTGCACAATATTCATTGTCAAGCAAGGGGTGGCATTGTTTGTAGTTTTTTGCTTCACCCTGTAATAAATGCATCAACTGGCTGATTGCTCCTCTTGTGAGCATTTGGGAGCAAACCCAATTGTGTAATTTGTGGGGCCCAGTGCAAAATGAAAGCTCAAGGCCCCTTGTTTAAAAAATTATCAATAATTTCAACATGGCTATAGCCAAAAACAAAACAAAAAAAAAAAAACCCAAACTCACTGACATCAAGTCAGATCTGACTCATAACGACCGCCCCACCTTGGTTTTCCAAGATGGTATCACTAGAGAAGTAGACTGTCCAATCTTCCTTCCAAGAGGTGGCTATATATAGCAGAGCATTAAATTAAGTGCAGGGTCCTTGGGAATGCATAGGTCACTCCACTTGAAGCTAGCCCTGTTTCTCAGGAGACTAGATTTTAAAGGACACCTTAAAGTGGAATGGAATCTGAAGCAATGGTCAGTGATATCAAGTACTTCTAGAAAAAAAATGAGAACTTGGAAGTACTGAATAGGGAACTGTTGTTACCCTATAAGAACAATTCTCAAAGCTACGGACTTTGTTAAAGTCACTCCAACAGAAATACTCTTCTTCCTGACCCAAGTTATTCTTTTCTCAAATAACTTCCCCTCTTCCCAGGTCCCATTAAATGTTAGCATAGTGGCTAAGACACTTGCCTGCTAACCAGACGGCTGGCGGTTCAAACCCACAAGCCACTCCTCGGAAGGAAGGTTGGGCAATCCTACTTCCGTAGTGATACTGCCTGGGAAACCCAAGGAGGGGTCGCTATGAGTCGGGGCCGACTCGACGGCACATAACAACAACAACAACAGTGTGAGATCTATCTCAGAGTGGATGGACCTTTCTTCCTTTATGCCTTAGTCTTCTGTTGTCTTGGAGAGTCCATGTGGCTCTCTCCTCTATGTTCAGTGTGGGAAGAAACCAGGTTGAATTCAGCCCTGCAATATTGCCCAGCGGATACATTTTGGGTAATTGATTTGAATGGAATGTGTTGAAACAGGTAGACAGTGTCAATGACCACAGGAGATGTTTCCATCAGCTTCTAAACCCAAGAGCTTTCTGTGGGAGACAAACACAATAACCACTACACTAGGGAAATTCCTCACTAGCAAATGCTGCTGTAGTAGACCCAGCCTAAGTGTCCTGTACTCATCAAGGCTCGTTCCTAAAAATCTTATGGTCTTCTTTCTATTCAGACATGCTTCTGAGTCAATGCCTACAAACGTACATTAAAATTGATTCAAAACAAGCACGAGGCCAAGATTAGAAGTGTCCAGCATCCAGGAATTGTTAAGTGCTATGTTTAACTTCTCTGAGCTTTATACTAAAACCATGACCACAAGCAGAAAAATCTCAACCATTTTGGCACTGACCAGACTTGACATTTTGTGACATGATCATGGAGACACTGAAGTTCATCC